TGAGGATTATTCTTCACAAACTCAACAAATTATCATAGATACTCATAAAGTTTCAAATGTAAAAGACAACAATTTCAACAGATATTAATTCATATTGTTTCTTGTATATGGGAGATTGACTTATTCAATGTAGATCTTTATTTCATTCTGTAAATCAAATAACTTTTTGAGATGGTGGAGACGATTTGTAGCTCAGGTGGACGATTTTGGTGGGGTTTTGTTCTCTGTGCTGGATGGTTTAGTTATGGAGCTTTCATCGTTCTTCTGAACGACATCAGCACAAACTCATTCGATTGGAAAAATATGGAAATCTTGGATAGAGGGATTTCCAAAAACATCAGAGAATTTTTAGAAGCTTGACACTCAGGTCAATCAGCAATAAACAAGCACATTGAAATCGATCCAATTTATCAACCAATCAAGAAAATTATACACAGATATAGGAATAAAAATTAAACCAATGGGAGACACAACCAAAAAAAGAGGAAACAATGACAAATTTAAGATCAACAAAATTCAATCAACGTCAAGGTGTACAGAACAAGCTGTGAAACGCATATGGATAAATTCGAACACTTCTGAAGTTTGTGCTGATGATGTCGTTTAGAAGAACGATGATAGCTCCACGACCAAACCATCCAGGTCAGACAACAAAACTCCATCAAATAACCTTTTTTTAATGAATCATGGTAGTAACAGAAATATAAAACTAAAATGTTTAGCATTGTACCTGTTAGACCTTTTTTCTTCACATTATGGTATCGTACTATTCAAATCAATTACATATATGTATATATATATAAGGCCTGTACTAAAACAACTCAGTGTATTGTACATAGAAAATGCATATTTGTTTCGAAATATTATTTATAATAGTAATAGGATGACCAACTGCTTTTTCGTAATGCTTCATATTGTTAATAACATTTTAGTCATGTTAACATAATTATTCTATTTTAAATCATGGCAACATTTAAGTCGGGGAAGAGGGATGTAATAGGTAATTAAGTCACTTTCTGATAACAGTATGATTTATTCGTTTGTTTAACATCATATTGTCAGTAATTGATATTTGTTAACATTTTTTAAAAATAAATATGATTTAGGAAAATATAATAAACATTAAATAGAAAGGTTTACAGTAGAAGATGAATAGTAGAATAATGTGGAAAGGATTTAACTAACAATTGATATCAGAAAGGGGTTTTTGTGGATATTATAGTGATTTAATAACTGAGATCATAAGTCAATTGAAGCTAGATCACCATGGAAAAATTGAAGTTAGACATTAACACCGTTGGATGCTGGCTCAGTGATGTAGAGGTTAGGTGTTCGTGCGCGAGACCTATGGGTCTTGGGTTTGAACTCCACAGGGTGGGATCGTGGATGCTTACTGCTAAATAGTCTTACAATAGGATGAAATGGCCTTCCAGTGCATTTGCGTTTTCCATGATGGTTCGGCTCCAATTGACTTATGATCTCAACTATTAAATAAAAATTAATAATTTTTATGTTTAAATTATAAGCTTTTTATTTTAATATTCGCTAAAAGTCACCTACCTAAAACTCATTTCTACAGAAAGTCAATAAAGGCATAAATAGCTCAATGTTTTCATCTCAGACTATGATGCTGCATAATATGAGTTTTGATATCACATTGTAAGTACATCTAGCTAATAACAAGTGTCAACTTAGACGAGATTTAGATTGCAAAGACCTACATACTGATCAGTTGATAAATGAGTTACACAAAAAAATTAAGATCCGTTTTCGTATTTGTTTAAAAAAGATAAACGTTTATTTCAGGTTATCGTATAAGTACATTTATAAGTGCTTTAGCTGATTGAATATCATAATAGAACAATTAAAGACAATTATGCGACTTTCATAATTTTCATGCAAATTTATTATTATTGTCAATCTTTTAAAAGAAATGAATATTTTAATATCATTTGGTGTTTTCCATTTATAAAGCTTATGATCTAAGGCAATATCGAGGCAGAACACACAGAATGCATATATGTCAATAAGAGACTGATCAATCGTAGTCCTAAAAGTTAATGGGAAGATTCAAGTAAACGACACCAAGTGAATTTAAAATTCACCTCATTGCACAAATAAGTGGCTATCAGGACTCAGTAGCTAAGTGGATAATGAGATGGCGCTTGAAGTGCACGGTACCGGATTGGAGTCCCCGAGTGAACATCAACCCTGAAACACAGGTACATCCAGCTGACGAGTCCCAAGTAGAACGAAACGCGCGTCCTGGATTCCACTGCCATCCACTATCCATCTTTGCTTATGAAATGAAAATTAGTTTACTGAAGTGAATTTTGACAATTTTCATATATTTTTTTAAAACTCTATCATTAGCACTAACAGAAATAAGAAGAAAATGCACTAATATAATTCAAGCCGTAAATTATTGGATTGTATATTAGAACTCATCAAGATATTAACTGAATTAGTATATGTAAAACATCCCAAATGAGTAGAAAAATGAGATTTTCTGACGTTTCATGACTCAATCTAAGATACTTATTCAGGGAATAAACAAACAAATCAAATGTAATACAAGTATTAAGTATTAATCCAAGTACATAGATTAATTTTGATATGGTTATTTATTCTCTGAAGAAGTGGCTTAAACATAGTCACGAAATGTCAGAAAATCTAATTTTTCTACTTATAGGAATATTACATATAGATTAATTTATTTGGAATAATCTACCCATTACTCAATTTATCCGAAATTATCAAGTCAAACCTTGATAATGATACATTCATCAAGATATTGTTTAGATTGAGAAAAATATTCTCCTTAATATATAGTTAGGTCAATATAAATCACGCTAAAACTAAACACTAGCAGATACTTAGCATTTATTAGTTCATATACCAACAGGCTTATGTTCATTTATAAAATAGTTCAATTTATATATAATACTCTTAATAATCCCATTAAAGAAAATATCCATTCAGATTTAATATAAAATGATTGATAATTACTGTTTCAAGTAAATTTATCAGGAACAATGAAGTGTTACTTCTCAGCTGAGTACATTCAAGGAAATTTAATTGATCTTTTTGACAAAGATTTTGTTATCTTCTCTTCATCTTCTTTTCTTGGTTATATTTACATTATTTTTTTTCTGGTTTTTCATGTAATGATTGTCTATACTTTTGTTATATAAGTCAAATTTTGTACAAAGGGGGAATAGTTTCTTATAGGAGGAATATCACATGAAAATAACAATATGGTCACTTTACCTTCGTCTTTTTTTTCTCTGTAATTATTTTTTATTATGTCATAAATACCCCTACATACAAAACACTAATATACACATAATATTATTCTTATTTTGTTAATTATAACACTACTAAGGAAATGTTAAACTATTCTACAGATTCTATGTAAGATTAACCAAAATGTTTTCGGTGTTCAACAAAACTGGTTCACCTAAAAATGTTTTGGGTTTATTTGATAGAAAAGAGGAAGAATATCATAGACGAACATAATTTTCTCAGGAGATCCTTTTAATCATTCAAAGCTATCAAACACATATATCTTCTAAGAATACACCAATGAAACGTATCTCGAATCTCCGGATAAAAAAAAACACAACAACAACAAATAAAATGAAAGTCAAAGCATGAAATGAAACCTTCAGTGAATATTAAGCTTACATACACAAGAGTGGATTTATTAAATAAACTAAAAAAACATCTGAAAAACCTTGTTATCTCACAGATATTGGATAATAAAACAAAAAAATTGATGAGCTACAAATTCACAGACATATATCGTATTTCTAGATTATCAATGATAATATAAAAAATCAATTATATAAAACACCACAGTAAAACAAAACAACTGAAGCTTAATTAAATAACATAATACAAAATAAATTATTATATTTGTAATAACTTAATGAGTAGAAAAATTAAATTTTTCAATGTTTCGTAACTCAATCTAAGCCACTTCTTCAGAGAATAAGCAAGTAACCACTCACTAGGATATTTATTTATTTATCTATTTATTTAAACACATAAACATTGATACAAGGAGGCACCAATTAGATATGTGCCACACAAATCATTCAGTTTGTGTGAGGGATGGGATACTGCTCATGTGCCCAAACCGAAGCAGGTAGTTTAATTAGGAGGTCACACCTGGAGCCTTCTATTTGAAGGTTTGATCCACAAGGCAGTGAAGCAACGTTAGGAAATGCAGAATTATGGTAGCCGGTGACCAACAATTGGTCTTAACACCATTTTTTCTTTCAGGATTTGGAATAAGGGTTCTCGAACCTCCTTTGGTTGACTCTCCGTGTCCACCAACCGGGTTAAAGTGTCGGATACTCGCTTTTCGTCCTCTTGGTTTCATAAACAACACCTACGCCACGAAAGAAGGCGGTGATTAAGACTTCCCTATCAGTGGCTGTTATATACGTAGCGATATAAGAACATTTCAAGAGGGCAAGCTGACTCTCCCCACTTTCGACCATACCAGGGTATTACGAATATATTAATTAGTTTAAAACAATCTACTCATTGCACAATTTATTCAGAATTATCAAGTTAAACCTTAATAATGATACTTAGCATAATATAATTTAATTGAAAATAATTCATTCCTATAGTAAACCAAATTCTTTTGTAAACAATAAAATAATTATATCATCATATCAGAATGGGTTTTGTGGAGATTTTAGAAATTTCACAGATTGAAATCATTAGTCAGTTGAAGCTAGACCACTATTGAAAACCTGGAAGCACTGGACTGCCGTTTCGTCCTAGTATGGGACTCCTCAGCAGTGCGCATCCACGATCCCGCACCACGCGGGGCTCATCATAATTAAAAGAATAATTAAATTGAAAATCTTACCGTGTATATAGAAATAATTAAAATTCAATGAATTCAATTACACAACAATTAAATTATATTATGTATATTATTATCTCCTTATAGTTAATATAGAAAAATAACAAATACACACCCACGCAATATGTTCATATATATATATGTATTTGTAATTTTTATTTCCAAGTGTTTGCTATTCACAACTAAATTCAATACACCAATACTCCAAGTATATTTGAATATTTCAAAAAGAATAGTAATACTTATTATTATTATTATGGGTACCAATCAGTTAACTTAGTGACTATGATAAATATATGAACAACAACAAAAATGATAACAGCAAAAGAACTATCCTACCGTTGTTGTTGTCGTTGTCGTGTTGTTGTTGTTCTCTTCTTTGTTTTCTGATTTGTTATTGAATAATTCTCATTTCTTCCAATGTTCTTTGGACTTAATTAATATTTATTAAATTTTTTTATTCTTCTTACTTTCATGAAATCATCATTTTTCATTGGTTAAAAGTGAGAAATTGTAAAAAAAAAAGAAGAGAACAAAATGTTCTAGGAAGAAACTTTCATTTAGTTTTTCTACTGTTTCTACTGTTATTCATTCGATTTGTTCACCTATTAGAAATAAGAATATTTAATCCAATGTATACAATATTCTTTGATTAATGTCTAAGTAGATAAATACTATTGTAGGATTAATGATAATTATAATTCATTGTGTACAATTCAGATAATATATGTCTCTTATATGTGTGCGTGGTAAAGATTATTGTTTTTTTTTACTGAAAAAAACAATTCATTCATTTATTTATCGTAGCATATTACTGTCTAATGTCGAGTAAGTAGTATAAATGAAGTTTTTATTAGTAACAGTTCAATGCAAAATACTTAAAATCATAATGAATGTATGTTATTTCTTTATAAATTTGGAAGAAAAAAAAAGACTAGCTCATTAATTTGATTGGCAGGATAATATAGTGCTTTCAGTACACTGTCAATAGTTACCAACAATCAGAAGTATTAAAAAGATAATATTTACTAATGTAATAATAAAATACGAATAGAAATGATCATAGTAAACTCATTAATATGAACACGCTTCAACATAATGTAGTTGTGAATTAAGTAAAGCGTAAAAAGTAAGTTGAACAAAATGTTATAACTTAGATTAATTTGGAGAAATCAATACAAGAAAATGGTAATCAAGATGTAAGTTCTAATTCAGTTGGGTTATTTAGAAAAGAAAATACTATGAACTAAGACAAAACTGAAAAATTAAATGCTGAAAGATCTTTTAAATAATTTCCAGTAGATTCAGAAGATTCCTTAATTTGGAAAAGACAGTCTTTACAGATTAATCTAAGTTGAAGTATGATTTAAAAAACAGGAATCACTGTGTGATGTGTACCACTAATGTCGACAGTTATAAGTAGTATGTATCATCAATTAAGTCAAATGCTTGGTGGTAGAAGGTTAAGAACATTGAAGAAAAGAGAATGAGAACAGAGAGAGATTGGTATGGAAACGAAGGAACAATCAAGTTTGAGACAATTGATTGACATTTGGCAAATAAAGTATTTACTGTATAGTTCTCAGATTTTACTAAGTGATTCTGTAATTTTGTGTTCAGGGACATTCGTTTGTCCCCACTTGTGTTCTCGCTCACTACAACTGGAAAGCTATCACGTCCTACGAATAAAACTTTTATTCAAGTCAATTGTGAATTAACGAATTGCTAAAAGTCATGTGGATTTTAACATAAATGATTTTGCATTTAAACACTTGATCTAAGAATCAGTGGTTGATGAGCTTTGTGTGTAGAATTCTGAACGACTTGATATTGAGATTAGAGAGATCTCTAGGACTTTATAAATCTAAATGGAACTATAATTTATGTCAATATGTCACAAGATTCACCCAGAAACTTAGTCCTTATCCTTAATTTTCGTTCAGCTAGTTAACCAGGGAAAAACGTCATATTAACATAAGAAAGAACATTTGTATCCACATTTTTGTAAACATTTGTAGATCGTTATGAAATAAATCATTATTAAATAGTTATAAACAGTACAAATAGTGATAACAATAGTGATTGCCTGAATTATCATATATCAGGCGGGATCATATATTATTGATGTATCGATCATTTACAAGGAATGCCCATTTCATACCCATAATTCATAATACCAACTGTACGGATAAAGTTAAAAAGACTGTATGAGTTTATAACTTGTCCTGTTGAATGACCATTATTTTCACCCCCCCCCTACGATATTCAAGTATAATAAATTGGTTTGATATTTTCATATACCTTTGTAGATGTGCTTAAACATTATATTAAAGCTTGATAATGATCTAACTGAAGCCAATATTATTCGCTTATGTGTGTGTGTGACATATTAAAATTAAGAATTAGTAGGAAATAGAAATCATCTAGGAGGAAAATATAATGTGAGTTCAAAAAGGGTTTGCTGAAATTGTAATCTTCTTCTTCTAGACAACTGGTTTAGAGAAAAATAATTCGTTATATCATTAGCGAGAAGAACTTGAATTATTCAGTCCTTGGTAATCATAACTGATGGGTTCTAAATAAGATGAAACAAGAGTCTTGAATTCATTTTGAATTCTATCTTTGCTTATAAAGCTTGTAACCTAAAGCAATATCGAGGCAGAACGCACAAGACGCACATATGCCAATAACAATGGGAAGATATAAGTAAAACAACATCAAGTGAATTTAAAATTTAATATATTAAGGGATTTAATTAATATAAAGGAAATACTTACTGATATATGATCATATGTTGTAGAAAGTTCTTTACATAAGGCATATATTTATAATATTCAGTCTATTAAATGTATTTACACCCTTACTAGTATAGGGGTTGTGGAGATTATTAAGTTTTTGATTGAGATCATGAAACGATTGATGTTAGACCACCACCTTTGGAAACCTGGAAGCACTGGAAGGCCGTTCCGTCCTATTGTGGGCCTGCTCAGCAGTGCGCATCCACGATCCCGCTCGCTGGATTCGAACCCAGGGCCTTCGGTCTCGCGCGTGAACGCTTAACCAACTGGACCTCTGAGCCGGCATCCAATGGTGATAGTGTCTAACATCAACCAATCCACGAAATTCCGCGACCAACTTCCATTGTACTGAGGTAGATACCTGTCTCTACCCGATATGGATTAGCTCCACTGATCACGGCTTCTCACTAGAACCCCGAGAATTCCCGCACGAAGCTAATCACTAGTGAGCACATGTTGATTACTAGTACAAGGGTTGTGGAGATTATTAGGTTTTTGATTGAGATCTATATTGATGTGTTTTTAAAATACCATCTGACTGAACTCTTTGATATAAGTAATTTAAACCCATTTTGTAATTACGTTTTTAAATATCACAGGTTGAAGAAATCTAATGAGAACCAAACGAAATAATATGTATTCATGGTATTCTGCTAAAATCTCTGTTCTTACTCTCTTCAAAATGATAAACGGAACTATGTGTATGAAAAATCACTTGATAATTAAAAGTCACTTGTTAATCTAGATTCAAGTGTTGTGTAATTGTAGATTTTCTTTTACCTCGTCAAAGTTATCATACATACTCCCTTTTTAGAGCCTATTTGAACTTAAAGTTAACACTGAATAAATGATATAAACTGCAAATTCTGTAGCATTTGGAAAAACTGACTCAAAAAAATCATCTTAAATTTAACACAAAACAGATTCGATATGACATTACAAAGTTCTTTAAATCTTACATTTAGCATTACTTCAATGAATAAGATAATTTTTCATACACATAGTTCCCTTTATCTGCCAAAGCAGCTACAGTGGTAGAACAGAAAGAAGAGTTTACGTCCGATTCAAAGAACATATTCCGAAAAGTTTAAGATCAAATGGATTAGAAGCATTTAGCAGCGACATTGCAAGACATCTTGACACACGATATGAAATCGATACACTACAGTCCTTCAAGATGATAAACAAACAATCAAATTCCAACCTTTTGAAATTTGCCGAAGCAATAGCAATTAAACGTCTAAAACCAGATCTCTGTGTGCAAAAAGAGACAGTAATAAATCTTTCTTTGCTCTGGTAACATTACCCCCCCCCCTTTTTTTTATTTTTTATTTGCATTTATTATGTCATTCACTATTTCAACTCTTTCTGAAGTTTAAATTACATCATTGTCATTTTTAATTCATAACTGACTGATCCCAATTCATATCTTTCTTTATTACCATTACTTACCATTGCTTAATCACACAATCATTTAATGTTTGTTAACTCAATTAGTTCTAACTTCTATTTCAATATTTTGAAACTTTCCCTCCCAAACTTCATTTACACGAAACGAAATTTTTATGACTTAATTAACTCTTGAAATCTTCGCTACATCATAATACATATATTCATCTTTCATCGCCCTCGTATGTATAAGTATGTCAATATCTGTGATAACGTTGATTTTCAAATATTCTAGGTTGTAAGCCGTTAATGAGAACCTAAGGAAATAAAATGAATTCATATTATTCGGCATCAATCTTTGTTCTTGCTATTTTTGAAATGGTGGAGAAGATTTGTAGCTCAAGTGGATGATTTTGATGGAGTTTCGTTCTCTGAGATGGCTGGTTTAGCTATGGAGCTTTCATCGTTCTTGTGAATGACATCATCAGCACAAACTTCTGGTAGAAGTGAAGTGTTCGAATTGCTCCACATGTGGTTCACAGCTTGTCCTGTACGCCCCGATATTTATTGGTTCTTGTTGACCTTAAACCTATCATTGTTAACTTCTTTGTTTTCGTTGTATCTCCCATTGGTTTGATTTTTGTTCCTATGTTAGGTTGATAAATTGGATCGATTTCAATGTGCTTGTTTATTGCTGATTGACGTGTGTGCCAAGCTTCTAAAAATTCTCTGTTTTTGGAAATCCCTCTATCCAAGATTTCCACATTTTTCCAGTCAAATAAGTGTCCATATTTGTCAAGCTCAGAGAACAAAACTCCATCAAAATCGTTCTTGTTCTCTTTAAGAATAAGATGATGTTGAAATGTGCTGAAATAAGAGATTCCGTACCATAATTTTAATCTGTATTACCTCGAACTTAAATTACTCAAAGCTAATGAAACATGTAACTCATTCACTTATCCTCGTAACCGTAAAGGTACTCTTAATATTTGAAACATATAATTATTCAAAGTAAACAAATTAGGAAAACCTACTGTATGGGGGACGTTACTGGTAAAAGTTGAATAAATGTTGATTACAAATTAAATCATAAAACATTT